CGTAATTGAACAGAAGGAAAGAGTATTTTTCTTCGATATTATTAGAAGAATTTCTTAATTACGTGTGTGTGAATGTACGCTTATAAGAGGAAACCAATATTTTGTCCATTTGAAGTCATTAAATTTACTCATTTATGTTTTTGTGTGTATGTTTTTGGTTTTTCTTCAAATGATAGTTAAAAGGATGCTCAACTTTATTGATATATTGTTTGTGTATCTGACAATTATCATATTATTTGTTTTTGTATTTGTAAAATAACTTGTGAAACATATATATCTTTCTATACAACAACAAAGGTTTTTTCTTCGCTTTTTTTCTTTTTCGTTTTCTTTGTTTTTTTCTTTTTCTTTTTATTTTTATTTTTCTTTTTGGTTTTGTCTTTTCTTTTAAAGTAATTTCTTTTCGTGTGTAACCGTGACTGTGAAAGTTGTTATTCTTTTGTTTGTGTTATTGTATCGTATTGTAGAGTATTGAAGGGAATATATAAAAATGTGAGTGAGTGAATGAGTGAGCGCCTAAGTAGAGTGAATGGGGGCGTTCGCAATGTTTGGCTCTTTGCGAAAAGTTATGAAACAAAAAAAAAAAAAATCATCAATTTAAAGTATTTTTTTTTTTTTTTTTCGGTGAAAATGTTTTCCGTTATCAAAGGAATAAATGATTCTTTTTTTTTTTTGTTTTATTTATTTTTTTTACCTATAAACATTTCGAATTGTCAAGCCTTCGGTTAGGGCTTTGATCACACGAATAAAAAGAAAAAAATTAAAAAAAAAATATTAAGAAACCCCGTTTTTTTTCTTTTCTTTTGTTTTTGTGTTTTTTTTTTTAAATTTTTAGTTGAAGGCTTTCGTTATGTTTTGAAATCATTTCGAAATCATTTTTATACTTGTATTTATTTGTTTATTTTTGTTGTTATTATATTAATATACACATTATTGGCGCAATACCCCCTTTAAAGACACTGTACGAATTTGATACTAAAGATATTATGTGCATGTGTTTGTATGTGTTATGTCATTTTAGAATATATTACCTCAAATATCGTAAAGTGTCTTCGTTACATGCTAAGGATATTTCGATCTTATATTGATTTTTATCTATTTAATTATAATTATAGTAAATTTATTCGCTAACGTTTTTAAAACCAGGTTTTTATTTATTTTATTATTATTATTATTTTTTTTTTTCGTTTTTGTTTTTTTCTTTTTCTTTGTTCTCAATTTTTATTACGCATTCAGTTTATGTAGAATAGAGTATCAAAAGGATTTTATTTATGTTTTTTTTTTTATTTTTTAAGTGTTTTTTTTTTTTTTTTTTTTTTTTTTTTTTTTTTTTTACTTCGTTTTTATTTCCTATGCTTTTAAATTATAATTTACAGCTGTTTTTCCGGTGCTGTAGATGTATTTATTTACTTAATCAGATGTGTGTGTTAATTTGGTTCGAAAAATGTTGTTAAATATTTTACGAAAAAGAAAACCAAAACTCAATGCAATAAAATATTTACCGAGGAACTGAGTTATTTGCCTTCATATGCTAATTGCAGGACAATGAAGATCAATGTGTAGAGAACTGCTAATGAAATACCGTAAAGGCAATTGTTTAGATGTAAGCGAAAAAAACAAACACAAATTCTGTCATTTCATAGAATTGCTAAAGCAGTCAAATATTTACACTTTATAGATAGAAGAGATGCAAATAAAAAATCGAAAAAAAAAAAACAAAACAAAAAATTCGTATAATTGATTGCAAATTGTTTATTTCTTATACGGGTTGAAGCTTTCAGTATTAAGTCGTAAGTGCAAAATCAACAACTGGCTACTATTAGAAGTCAATTCTGATCTGACCATTACCAGACCTATGCTCAATGTAACACACACACACACAGAGATTCACGGCAAGGCTTATTGTGATGGCAGCGGCTACTACTTGAATATGAACGCGAGCATGTCCGCGATAGACTAAACAATTGTAATAGATATTGCTTTACTATTAATTAAATATATCACATATACATAATGACACATTTTTAAATTGAAATATTTTTTTGAAAATCAATCTTTGTTTTTTTTTTTTATTATTAACTTGAGTGTTTTAAACTTTCTATCCACCTGAGTGGGCGAGTAGAATAAGGCTCTCAACTAACAACTCAGTGATCGTGAGGGCGCTAGAGCTCTCAAAAAAATCGGGGATAGGTAGATAGATGATGTTAGTGCTCGAGCAGACAGACACTGACAAGGCCATCACAATAGTAATAAATTTTCCGAAACAACTAAAACGTAGCTACCTACAGTGTAACCATTTTGAAAAATTATTCACAAATCAAATTTTTTCCTCCAATATTTGATATATTATTATGTTCTTAGCTTTCCGTTTCTCTCCTTTCTCAAAGATACACTTTTGTCTTTTTAGGCCGTTACAGTTACAGATGTTGCCACGTAATGAGTATACAAAATTTGTCTTAAGATGGTTCATAGTTTTCTATATCTTATGTAAAATTTCACAAATTGAATGCTTGGAGGCTTTTTGCCGATAAGTAGATGCGTGATGACCTTCAAGCAGTTGTGTACACTCAGATGAAACTTGCCTCTATCACAATTGATTGGCAAATCGTTACTGACTTAAAATAGGACGGGAAAGAAATAAACTATAACCGATTAAACTTAAAATCAAGCAAGAAATCTATATTCGCTTTAAAAATAAATCTTTAATAGCGATCATGTTAAATTATTAAGGAAAACTTTGCAAATATTTACATTTGCAATTGTAATCAAATCCTTGGTCAATTTTCGCTATAAGTTTTACATTAAAACAGTTTTTTTATAGATCTTAGGTCCAAGTTTCAAGTTTGAGTTATGGCAATTAAATTGAAGGTTTTCGCTCTCTCGCTTTGAATCTTTGCAGATAGGGCATGGATGGACAGAGGCTCACATCTTGAATATGTATTAAAGTATTTTGAGGTTTACTTCAATGTCAGTATTTTTCCGTTTAGAAGACAAGCGTCAACATGGGCTTGGGATTAACTCTCGTCAAGTGTGTATGCTCTCCAAGCAAAATGACAATTTGTTTGTGAATGAAATGAGTACAAGTTGTCTCTATTGTCTCTATATAGTAGCGATTGAAATGATTTTAAACTTCTTCGTTTCTACTAAGCTAAGCTTGAGAGGGCAGGTCAAGAGGTTTAAGCTTACGATTCTTTATAAAACTGTTTTCGAGTTAATATTTTAATATATGAAATTGATTGCAAAATGACTTGTTGTAGCAAAATTTGCTTAGATTGTATTATTCACGTACTAAGTAATGTTCCATTCAGTACTGTTCCGTAGAAAGACAGATTATGCGATTGTTGAGATGGAAGGAAAAAAAAATGCTTCAGGGATTGAATTGCTCGTTGACGTAGGCGTATCTAAAAAGTATTTTACATCGACTCTATACATATACAGCATATGGATATTAAGTGCTCTTCTTACCATTTTCCATTGCTTTTTTTTTTGCCAGAGGTTTGGTTGAGAATGTGAATAATAAAAGTGACTTATATCTAAGTACTTCATAAGTAATAATTATTTATGAGTTATTCCATATAAAGGCGTATAAAACATGTTTAAAATCGCTAAGAAGATAATGTTAACAGTTCCGCTATCATAAGGACTGTTAGCGAAATGATAATAAAAAATTATTTTCAATTTTTTCAATTTTAATACTGAAAGCGTAACCCCGTAATCATGATGATCGGTCTTAATAAAAAAATAATTAATAATAAAATATGATTCACACATTTAACGTTTTTCTTATTCTATGTGTGTAAATAAGAAATATTTATAAAAACAATTCTCTCGTCTTTTTTTTTTTTTTTGC